GTATGATTGTAATGTATCCAACCTGTATCCTATATTGTAATGTATAATTGTAATGTATCCAACCTGTATCCTATATTGTAATGTATAATTGTAATGTATCCAACCTGTATCCTACATTGTAATGTATAATTGTAATGTATCCAACCTGTATCCTTTATTGTAATGTATGATTGTAATGTATCCAGTCTGTATCCTATATTATATTGTAATGTATAATTGTAATGTATCCAACCTGTATCCTATATTGTAATGTATGATTGTAATGTATCCAACCTATATCCTATATTGTAATGTATAATTGTAATGTACCCAACCTGTACCCTACATTGTAATGTATAATTGTAATGTATCCAACCTGTATCCTATAATGTAATGTATGATTGTAATGTATACAACCTGTATCCTACATTGTAATGTATAATTGTAATGCATCCAACCTGTATCCTACATTGTAATGTATAATTGTAATGTATCCAATCTGTATCCTATATTGTAATGTATGATTGTAATGTATCCAACCTGCAGTATCCTATATTGTAATGTATCTAACCGATATACGTTATAAGGTTTCATGTTGCTGATGTAAACTGATCTATCTAAGCTGTCAATTCAACACCTTGTCCTAGGGAAACAAAAACCTAGAAAAAGCAAAAAATCAATCAACGTTTTGTAATTTTTTGTTATTTTTGTTTTGGAAACTCCTTTTTTTCTCATCTTCAGTTTTTCAATTATTTCTTCCCTTACTTGGCGCGAGTCACAAATATCCCAATAATTTTTTTTGCTTTTCCTCATTCCCATTATTCTATAATTATCACAATTTTCTTCTATTTGCTTACCTTTATTTCAATTATCTTTCTTTAACCTGACTTTTACCCAATCATTAAAACTATCTTTATCCCCACTTAATGTCAAATTACTTCAATTAGAGAATTCACAAAAAGTAATGATATAAAAAATTTTGAACAAATATATATTCTATAATAGATTTGTTTTTGATTCTTTTCTCAGGATACTCTTAATTTTCTGTTTTATATTAGTCACTTTTTGAATTAATATCTAATAATCTTTATTTTTGCCCCTCCGCCCTCCCGGTTACCTCAGAATTCAAACATTATGCAAAAATTGAGTCAAACCTTAGAAATTGCAAAATTTTGATTTAGAAACAGAATTTGTTGAATTTATGAAGTCTCAAAATACCATATTTTACTATCACAAAATCAAGAGAAAATTTAGTACAAATCTTACAATTTTAAATGTTCTTAAAAATTCCTTCAAAAACCCGAGAATATTTTGATTTTATTGAATCCATATTACATGGGAGCTGATTTTACCAGTTAAAACTTGGAGGGGGCCCAAAAGCTAGTGGAGGTGCCGGATGTAGGCGTATCCGGAGTGGGCGTAACCGGATGAAGGCGTGTCGAAGATTGGTTATCCAACAGGGAAAACCCTGCTAAAAACCATCATGAATAAATATTTTCCCACAATATAAAAATAAAAAAAAGTTCCTTCAAAAACTACATGCAGTGGACCGATACAACTGCAGGAATAGCAAGACGACTGTCTAATAAACATGCAAACACAGCGATTGTGCAGTGTTCACAGACCCATTTCTCTATCAAAACTATCAAAATTTTCATTTACAAGTGCTAAGGAGAATACAAAGAGGTGGGGATCAATATGAATTTAACTTAAAAGTTTAAAAGAAAGACTAATTATTTAAAATTAGTTTGAAGTCAGGTTGGCTTTATGCATGCATTTTCATTTAGAACCTCATTTAGTTCTACACCTTCAATTAAGTCCTAAACCCATAAGCTAAGTATATATCAAGGTCGTCAAAATAATTATGGTTTTACCAATTTGAAACATTGAATTTAGAATGATAAAATTACATTTCCCAAATTTTGTCGTGATTAAACCAAAAATCAAATTTTAATTCCTGTGTTTTGTATCTTCAATATATTTTATGACAGTATATTTTTAACAGTATATTTAGAGGTCCAGTGTATACAATATATATATACAAATACAAAAAGAACCTTTTTTTATAGAAATCCCGCAAACTTAAAGTTTTTATATTATTTTTAGAAAATTAGAATTTTATAATTTACATATTTTAATTGAGTTTGAAGCAGGTTTAAACTTTTCCTTGTCACGGGAAAACAAGGAGTCAGCAATATTTATTAAAGTGTTAAAGGGACAGTTAGCTTAATTTTAAGTGATTCTCCAAGTAAAATAGCAACGCCCGATTCACAACGTTACCCTTGAAACCTTTATATGATCAAGAAGTGGGAGAATGTCGTTTTTACAGATTTTAAAGTGTTTCTTTATGAAAATTCCTGTAGATTACATGGAGTATAGAAATGCGCTAAACTTAATAAAAATTCAAACCTGATCAGACAGATCGGGCATTAACATCTTCGCATGGGGGGTCACGCTTACAGTCTCTCTAACAGAATTAAAATTAAACTATTTTTGACGCCAAAAATTAAGAATTAAAACCTGAACCCTACTTCGAAATTGCATGAGACCCCCGACTAGTTTTCCATTCTACAACAAATATCATGAGACCTCTGAAATGAAAGGTTAGGAAGAAAATTGAAAGTTTAGTGGTTCTAGGAAAATTTCGAGGGAAGGATTAAATCTGTTTTCTGTTTCCGCTTGTCAGGGGTAGTTCATAGTGCTTGATTAAAGAACTACCTGACAGTAGAACTACCTGATAGTCGAACTACCCAACGGTAGAACTACCTGACAGTAGAACTACCTGACAGTAGAACTACCTGACAGTAGAACTACCCAGCAGTAGAACTACCTGACAGTAGTACTACCTGACAGTAGAACTACCTGCTGTAGAAATACCTGCTGTAGGACTACCTGACAGTAGAACTATACCTGATAGTAGAACTATATGACAGTAAAACTACCTGATAGTAGAACTACCCAACAGTAGAACTACCCAACAGTAGAACTACCTGACAGTAGGACTACCTGACAGTAGAACTACCTGATAGTAGAACTATATGACAGTAAAACTACCTGATAGTAGAACTACCCAACAGTAGAACTACCTGACAGTAAAACTATCTGACAGAAGAACTACCCAACAGTAGAACAATCTAATGTAACCAATGACCATAAAAAGTACAAATAGAAAAATTGTGAAAAATCATGGTTTGAAATGATTTCTAGATTTTATTAAAAAAGTTTTTATTTATGTTCCTCATGGCTGAACTAATTGTAGTGGATATACTTGTAACTTTATATTAGTCCAAGGAAACTCTTATATTATATACAAAGTTAATTATTAGTTTTACCCTTGCTACTCAAAAATATGTATTAACTTACAACAAATATGCTTTTGCAAAAGTAGGAAACACTCTTTCAAAATAAATACAAGAATACAAGATAATACAAGAATACAAGATAATACAAGAGGATCAATTTGATTGATTGAAGTCTAGATAAAAACATTCTGTATCTCTTTATGTACTATGTATAAGTGCATAAATGGATCTAAATCTATAAATCTAACCAAATCCTTCTCTTCATGATTTACCCCTTTCTACTTAACCCCCTCCCTTTTCTACCTAATCTACCCTTTTCCTTTCTACCTGTCCATATCCTTTCTAACTACTCTATCCCTATCCTTCCTACCTATCAATCTTTATTCTTTCTACCTACCTGTCCTTATCCTTCCTACCTACCCATCAATATCCTTTCTACCTAATCTTCCCCCTTCCTACCAAATCAACCCCTTCCACCCTTCCTACCTACTCTACCCCCGCCCCCTGTCTACATAATCAACTCCCTTCCCTTTCCCCCTACTCTAACCACTCCCCTTTCCCTACCTACCTACTCTTCCCCCTCCCTATTCCTAACGAAACTATTCCCTTTACTTCCTACAATTTCTTCCCCCCACCCCCTTTCTACCTATTCTACCCCCTAACCCTTCCTACCTACTCTACCAAAACCCCTTCCTACCTTTATCAATCAATACAGAAGTGATAATATCGAATACTTCTACTATTCTCAATCTCAGGTTGATTCATTGATTAATATGATGAGTGATCAGATAATCAATGGATAAAAAGGATTGTTCAGAAATTTTCATCATATTTAAAATAACAAAAAAAATGTTTATTGGAAATTAGATAAAGAATCACATAAGTCAACATTCGACGCGACGATTTTCTTACTTTGCTCTGGTATACAGTACACACAATTGATAAAAGATTTAATTCCAATGGGACATTTTTATAGAAAATCGAGGATGTCTCCATCATTGTCAAAAGTTTAAAGGGACTGTAAAGGAAAAATGAAAGGGGGTATAGGCTGAAAGCTAATCACTTTAGCTCTTGATCGCGACCCATGAAAGTTTTATCTGATGTTCCTGTTTCGAGAAACTGATATAAAACTGTGTTAAATTATACGAAAATTCATATATGTAAAATTTTGAAAATCTGAAACCTAAATCACGTGACCAGAACTATCACCAATGGCAGAGCAGTATACTGGTCACGTGTCTCCGCCTGCATCACGTGACCACTTTACTGCACTGCCATTGGTGGAATTTCTGGTCAAGTAATACGGACGTAAAAATAATATTATGAATGAAATCTATTGAAAATAAAAACAACAAATATAAAAGTAAACCTAAATTACAATTAGCTTTCTCTGGGATATCATCGTTTTCAGATTGGTTGCAGATTTGCTAAACATGATCTGTTTAAACCTACTACTTTTATACAAAATTGTATATATATTAATTTTCGTATAGATTTGACACAGTTTTATATCAATTTCTCAAGACAGGAACATCAGATATGACTTTCATGGGTCGAGATCAAGAGCTAAAGTGATTAGCTTTCAGCCTATACCCCCTTTCATTTTTCCTTTACTGTCCCTTTAATATTGTTTCGCGCGCAGATTGATGTTCATTTAGACTTTATCTTCAATCTCAAGTTCAAAATGTCAACAAATAAAATAAAATGAATGATATTTAGGTTTCCTGGGTGCGTCTAAAAGACCCTAACCCTCAGTTAATGTCTCTAAACAACGTTACAAACTCTCAAAACCCCAGGTAATTTATATCATAATAAATTACATTTATAAGATTTTGTGTTCTTTTTATATATTTAAAAAATCTATTTCTCTTTCATTGCAAAGTCCTTTGTTTTATTTTGATGTAAAGAAATTTTCAATTTATTTTTAATCTGAATCAAGATAATTTCAATTTTAGATTTAAGACGCAAATAAATTTAATTTTAGATTTTTTTTTCAGAGACCATTTTTAATTTTAAATATCTATGTTTTACATGAAAAGTTTACAAAACTGTGTCAGCAAAAAGTTGATAAAATAGAAAATAAATTCTCTAACATGCCAATTTATTTTCCAGGGTAGAACTTTATATATTGGTTTTACTAAATTGTTTTATAACAAACCTGGAATAAAAAACAAACAGAAAAGGAAAATCATCATTTAAGATCTTGAGCAATGATGGACGATTCAAAAGTCATTATTTAATACCTATATGCTTAATATCACTTCTTATCCTAAAGGCGTCAATATTTTAGGAGATTTGTTCATAGATAAATAAATAAACATAGATAGCTTATGTACGCTAAATCACCAAGAATTGTACAGTACGCGAACTCATACTTCTAGGGGTCAAAGTGTACTTCAATGATAAGTGGGGTGGTTTGGTGTTTTAATGGATTTTATAATAGAGTGTAAAAAAACTCCAGGAATGGAACTATTTGAACAACAATATTTCACTGAGAAATATACCATATTGACGAGAACTGAAGAAGGACATGAGAAGGACTGAACTAACTAAAATTTCTCTCTACAGAACTCATTTACACCACAAGTACTCAATGCCATAAGAACAGCCAATGTTTACAACCGACCTAGTTAATCTATATAATAGGAAAATCTTTAAAACATCTCTGTACATTTATATCTTTCAAGATGAAAAATGTCGTCTTATGCGCAATCTATCTTTATCTATGGATTTGTTGTTTTGAATCTAGAAATTTAAAATTTATTTGTGTTTTGCATTTCATCCATTTCAGTTTATGAACAAGCTTATGATTTTCTTATTTTTTTCCCTTACTCCTAATCTTAAATGCTCAAGGATATTCATGGTGGGTTCTTTTAAATTTGAGAAACAACGCTTAATTCCTGAATTAAAGTTATAGCTGAGTATCGAAGTGGAATTAAATAAATCCGCAAGTCTGCAAAAGACGGTGATAAATTCCCAAAATTCCCAACATAAAAGTTTAAACCTCTTTAAAGCAAAACGACGAATCTTTTTAGTCGGAAAAATAAAAAGGAAACAGAATATTTCCTGTTCAATGAATAAATGTAGATTTCACAGAATAGAATTCCTAGGCTGATATAAATTTATAAAAGTCAGGCAAACTCTTAATCTTGGATCGACATCTTACTCTTTTATTCTATTCTTCGGCAAACTATTTCTTTCAGATTTAGACATTTTTCATTTCATTCAATCAGCACCGGTATATTAAATTGCATTGTACAGTGGTCTCCACAAATCTATGGAATAGGGAGACGACAGTTAGACAATCTTATGTGTATTTGATGTTGTTAAAAAGAAAATGATTTTACCAGTAGTATAAAACATCAACTTGTTAAGTGAAATGGGGTTTGCACAAATGGTGTGTTTCATGATCTTTGAACTATTAAAAATCAACATTCGTCTTCCTATTCCACAGCTTTATAGGTACACCCAAATAGGATCCGTGCAGTATTAAGCTCTGGTATTCCATTTTTATTATTCTGGTTCCGGACTCCAATCAAGGTCTGGTATCTAATTGTATATTTTGTCTGGTTCTAGGTTCCGAGCTCTGGTATCTGATTGTATATATTTCTCGGTTCTAGGTTCCAAGCATGGTATCAGATTGTATATTTTGTCTGGTTCTAGGTTCCGAGCTCTGGTATCAGATTGTATAAATTTCTGGTTCTAGGTTCCGAGCTCTGGTATCAGATTGTATATATTTCTGGTTCTAGGTTCCGAGCTCTGGTATCAGATTGTATATATTTCTGGTTCTAGGTTTCGAGCTCTGGTATCCGACTGGAAAGAGTTTGTTCTTCTGGTAAAGAATGTGAAGGAAGAAGATGCTGGGCTTTATCAATGCCAGGAACAAATCAATTAATCAAACAGTCAATCAATCAATCATCCAAGGAATCAATCAACCAATCAATCAATTAATTAGTCAATTAGCCAGTCAATCAGTTATTATATTGATCAATTAATCAGTCAATGGATCAATTAGATATTTTACAAATAAAATTTTCTCATCTTCATGATTGATTGATTTTGTTTCTTTTGGGGTTCACTTAGGCTACTTTTGGGGTTAAATTAGGAAAATTGAAATCTTCTCCTTGAAATCAAAATTCTCATATTTGGGATATTATGTGCGACTTATAAAAACTAACTCTTTTTTAAAGTTTATTCGTTGGAAATAATGCTAATTTGTTATTATTATGTACCCATCATATAGTTTTAATCATAATTATAGATTGAATTTCAAATTTGAAAGACCTGTTTAAATTTTTTTGTGAACCAAACATTTTATGCAAAGTTTTCATCTTCAAAAATCATAAATAATCTCTTTCAAAAGTTATTTTAAATGATTTGTTAGGTTTCTGGACCCAAGCATACATCGATAACAAGGACTGTTTCTCTCACTGTTATAGGTTTGTTCACAAAGATCCAGACTGCTATATGCCGCAATGTCTGGGCCTTTGAGTTGACATTATTTATTCAACCATACTTTTTAAACTTCTACATTTTATAACCTTAAAGTATATGTTTTTAGTATTTAAGAGGTAATTACCAGAGCTTGTAGATTATGGATCAATGTGGGTTATTCATTTATTGGTTAGTTGGATATTTTTATTATCGGTTTTTTGGCGAATTGAGATTTAAAATCCAGGATTCTAAATTGTGGTCAATATTTAAATTTTAATTATAGTAAGGTATTGCGGATTACAGATTCAAAATTTTGCATTATTGATTGTGGAATACAGATGGATTGTGGAATACAGATGGATAATTGTGTATTATAGATTGTGGAATACAGATGGATAATTGTGAATTATTGATTGTGGAATACAGATTCAATATTGTGCATTATTGATTGTGGAATACGGATGGATAATTGTGCATTATTGATTGTGGAATACGGATGGATAATTGTGCATTATTGATTGAGGAATACGGATGGATAATTGTGCATTATTGATTGTGGAATTCGGATGGATAATTGTGCATTATTGATTGTGGAATACTGATGTATAATTGTGCATTATTGATTGTGGAATACGGATGGATAATTGAGCATTATTGATTGTGGAATACTGATGTATAATTGTGCATTATTGATTGTGGAATACAGATGGATAATTGTGGATTATGATTGTGGAATACAGATGGATAATTGTGGATTATGATTGTGGAATCCAGATGGATAATTGTGTATTATGGTTTGTAGAACACAGATGGATTATTGTGGATTATGGATTGTGGAATACAGATAGATAATTTTTTTGCCACAAACTCTGATGTTCTAATCCTAATATGTCTGCCATCCAATGCCGTAGACTTTATATATTTTAAAGTATAAATTCTGTTAGATCAGATAAGATAAGTTTGAAATGTCTAAAGTTTTCGTCTAGAGATTGAACAGATATAGGGATTAGAAAATTCGAGTTTGTTGCAAAGACTCAACTCCTTTACTGTGTAGTTTAAAAAAAACAAGTTGAGGGCTTAAAATCAGAGTACTTTATTGTGTTCTTTGTAAATTCTCATAAAATAGGACTAATTATGAAATTATCATTAGAAATAATTAATTGAAACCTTTAGTATCCCTCCCTATCCGTTGTTTTGATTATTGGAAACCGGTTTCACAATAATATTACAATTATCGAGAAAACAAAACCAGGAAAAGAAAAATTTGGGCCAAATTTTAAACTCTGATTTGGACTTTGTTCTTTGAGGAAAAGAAGGAGATATATTTTGTTATGCTATCACTGATATAAAGATCTCAAAAAATCTACTCCCCCCCATCCCCAGCCCCCATTCAATAAGTCACAGCACAGGTCAAATTAATTTTCAAAATTTAATGTTTATATGCAACCCCTGACATCTTCTTAAATGTATAAAGTTGAGTTCTCAGAATTCAACTTTTGTATAGTTGTAGATTCTTTTCAATTTTTTAAAGTTTCAACAGTTGACAACACGAACATGCATTTAGTGCATTTTTAAAAGCAAAATTGACAGGTCTTATTTACGTTTCTTTAATAATTCATGACATTAAAATTTTTTCCTGATTCAAGCAAAGCTAGTAAGGTCATTAATCAAGGGGTTTTTGTTGAGAAAAAATATACCATGTTTTAAAAAAAATATAAACAGTAAAATTTTGTTTTTTGTCAAATATTGGACGAATTTTAAAATATAAATTTTAAAAGGAGTTCAGTTTTAGATCTGTAGCTTAAACAATTACAACTTAGGGGCGATTGAAACACCGATCTTCTTTTCGGCTGTCCTGTACCCTTTTTATGAAAATGATTAAAAACTCCCCCCCCCTCCCCCCGCCTGTTTAGGGTTATTAAGTTATTATAAACTATGAAGTGCCTACTACACATTGGATATCTGAGAAAAACTTTTAATTACATTCTTTATAACTTATTTTTATATTTCTTATTTAATGTTTAATGCTTAAAGGGAGTGACCGGCAATGTATGGTAGTTGAACAGAGAATGTAGTATTGTGGAGAAATTTTTTAGGATACATTTGAGACATATAAAACGCTTTAATGAAGTAAAATTACCGAGTTTGAGCGCAAAATCGACCTTTAAAATCATCCATTTGGGTGGGTACGTTTTGAAAATCGATTTTTTTTTTAAATTATTGAACAACCAACACCAAAATGTAAAAAAATATTCTACAGCTAAACTAATTATATGTTTAAGAACGAATTACTCAATTGAAATTTTCTTAATAAATCAATGTTAGAATTAATTATTTCTTTTTCATCATTATATTGAATTTTTTATTCTTATGAATTTCCAGATTTCTTCAAATTCTTCAAATGTCGTCTTTTCAATAAAAATTCCAGGAAATCTACAGAAACCAAGAAATTACAGAAACCAATAACTGAATAAAATTACTTATTTTCAATGATAATATTTTATTTATATTTTCTCAACAACATATAAGTTTACTGCAGAATATATATTTTTCGTCGTCGTTATTGAATAATTTTTTAAAAAATCTATGAGGATTTTAAAGATAAAAGTTTTGCTCTTGCTGAACAAATATGCACCGTAAAAACGTCTCATAGGTCTCAAATGATTTCAAAAAAATATCTCCACAATACTACATTCTTAGTCCAACTACCATACATATTTGACATATAGCCGGTCACTCCTATTGAGCTGGAAAAATATTTATGTTAGATTTAACAAGTTCTAAGCAAACTATTTGAAGAGTATTGTTGAAAATAATAAAAAAGCATTCACCTAACATTAATGTTAATATTACAAGTAAAAGTTTGCAAGTTTAGATAGGCGTCTTTTTTCAGAATAGGAATAACTCAAATTCAACTTATTCAGAATAAAAAAATTTTCTCTTAAATATGTATTTTTTGTTGCTAAAAACGAGANAATTTAGTCTACACGGTTCAGCTACTTCATTCATTAAATCTTGTCCTTAACAGAGTTTTTACTGAAATAGTTTTTCAACACTTAAACGTTATTCTAATCAAACATTTTTTATTGAAATTACGCTTACAGTTCCTTTCAACCATGATTTAATGATACTAAGAAACATAGTAAACATATTTAATTTTCATCGAACTAAAAAAATTGTACGGACTCTCTGTTTTTAAAGACTCGGGTTCTTTAAACAATAAAACCTTTATTTTAGAAAAAAATGAGATTGAGATATTTATTCAGAAGTTGTTGTTCTGAGTAAATTTAAATTATTGATCTTTAAATTTATTAAGAATCAAATTGAAAGACGAAAATAATTTACGAAAAACATTCCTTTAAAAAATTTAAATCCAAATGGTCAGAAATAAAAAAAAAAATTTAATATCACAAATTTTTTTGAGATTTTTCCCGAAAACCCCTTTTAAATTTATGCTTGCTTGTAAAATATATTATTATTATATAATGTCATGATGGTCATGTGTCAATCAATCTTTCTGACAATTTATAGCTTTTGATTGAGGATACTTTTTAAATCATTGTCAAGTTTTTTTCTTTTTCTAAACGAACAAGAATTACTCCTGACTCCTGAGGCATATATATCATGAGGTTCAAGATTAAATTACATTTCTAGAATCAGCTTTATAAAGGTTTTAAGTTGATATACAGACAGGGAGTTTCGCGCCCTCTTTCTTTTTATACTGTCACCTATTTCTATTACTTTTATCTTCGTAAATTATATTCCATCGACATTTTCAACTAGAAGATAAACTTAATTAGAAGACATTTTTTATCCACCGGGCCATGTCAAGTCACACACAAAAGAATACTTTGATATATTTATTGTAGAGGGAAATACTGAAATCCTTGATGGACCAGTGATCTATGTTGATCCTCTCTCCACCCTGACGCTAACCTGCCGGGTAGATTTCGGACACAAAACTCCAGAATTTCTCATCTGGAGGAAAGAAGACAAGGTAGGTTTTCTTTTAAATTGTCTTTAACAAATAATAAATACTCTAAAATAAATATAAAATAAATCATAAAAAATAGCTTTAAATAGAACTTTTTTCATTGAAAATATTAATGAACATCTTTATGAAAATTTGTTTGATACCGAGACGCTGAACAAAACGTCTCAAACGAAACCAAAAACTGGTTAAAAAAAAATTACAACTTTAAAGCGAAAAATTACCGGACAGGAAAGGACTGAACTTAACAGTAGGATCAAATTTAAGGTGAAGCTAATGCCTTTTTACAAAGCAAAAGTAAAATTATAAAGTTGATTTCAATTTGATTTTCATTTCAATTGAAAAAAAATATATTTTGGAAATATCCTAAATTTTTTAGAGAAAATCCGGAAACCAATCAAAACTTTATAGCAAACGAGCTATAATGTACAGCTAATTTAACGTTATAGCACGATGATTATGAAATTTACGATGAAGTGAGTAATAATATATGTTTCATAAATATTTATTAATTAACCCTGTGGGAGGGGAAGGGGTTTAAAGGATAGAAAAATAGGAGTGTTAAACAAGATTAAAAGGTACATAAAGCAGGCAGTGATGTAAAAACTGGAAGTTCTGTTGAAAAATGGAAAATAGGAGTGTTATACAAGATTAAATGGTACATAAAGCAGGCAGTGATGTAAAAACTGGAAGTTCTGTTGAAAAATGGAAAAAGTTTGACATAAAAATAGAAAAGAAAAGAATATTACAATGTAAATGTATAGAACGCAGGATCAGGGAACTAAAATGGAGCAGAGTAAAGGGACTTATTATGAATCTTAAATGGAGTTAGCTAAAGCGAAGTTAATATATGAAATTAGTTTATGAGTTGAAACGTCGGAACCCAATACGAATAATGCCAGTTAATTCCATTCCCATTATATGAACATTTCACTTAAGCTCTTTGAATACAAAATCCTTCAGTGAGAACAAAAAACTCTGAAATAGTAAGACGACTTTTAGAATCAATCTATAACTTTAGAAAGTCCAATTAGCATATGAGAATGAGACACAGCAGTTGTGCAGTGTAAACAGACCTACATCACACAAATAGTGATTTAATTAGTGTCTAGTAAAAATATTTACTCTGTAACCACATCAATGACACTTAAGTACTGCTTCAATGTCGTCTTACTTTTTCATTAGTTTCTGGTTTTAACTGTGTATAAAATCTTTACGATTTCTCTTATGTTTTGTGAAAATTCCCTTTAAAGCTACAATATGGCTGTAGAAATTATTATTATTATTAATTGGAGAGTAAGGAGAAGTGCTGGAATAGAGTGGGGAAATAACATATTATGTTGAAAGCAACGGATTAGGGAGAAAACAAGGATCGAAAAGGAAATTGTGGAAAAGATAGAGAGGGGGGGAAAGGATACAGGACAGATTAAGCAGGAGGAAAGGAAACAGGAAAATATGAGCAGGAGGGAAGTTAACAGGAAAATATGAACAGAAGGGAAGGAAACAGGAAAATTTGAGCTGGAGGGAATGAAACAGGAAAATATGAGCGAGAGGGAAGGACACAGGAAAATATTAGCAGGAGGGAAGGAAACAGGCAAATATAAGCAGGAGGAAAGTAAACACAGGAAAATATGAACAGAAGGGAAGGAAACAGGAAAATATGAGCAGGAGGGAAGGAAACAGGAAAATATGAGCAGGAGGGAATGAAACACAGGAAAATATGAACAGAAGGAAAGGAAACAGGAAAATATGAGCAGGAGGGAAAGAAACAGGAAAATTTACACTGGAGGGAATGAAACAGGAAAATATGAGAGGGAGGGTAAGAAACAGGAAAATATGAGGGGGAGGGAAAGAATCAGGAAAATATGAGCAGGAGGAAAAAAGCAGGAAAATATGAGCAGGAGGGAAGGAAACAGGAAAATATGAGCAGGAGGGAAAAAACAGGAAAATATGAGCAGGAGGAAAGGAAACAGGAACCTTTGAACTGGAGGGAAGGAAACAGGAAAATATGAGCGAGAGGGAAGGAAACAGGAACCTTTGAACTGGAGGGAAGGAAACAGGAAAATATGAGCAGGAGGAAAAGAAACAGCAAAATATGAGCAGGAGGGAAGGAAAAAGGAAACTGTGAGGAAGAGGTAAAAAACAGGAAAATCTGAGCAAGAGGGAAGGAAACAGGAAAATTTATACTGGAGGGAAGGAAACTGGAAAATATGAGCAGGAGTGAAAAAAATAAAAATTATGAGGAGGAGGGAAGGAAACAGGAAAATATGAGCAGGAGGAAAAAAAACAGGAAAGGAGAGATATTAAGTTATGAAGGAAGATTCAGAAAAGTAGTAAACAGGGGTGAAAGTTAAAAGTAGGATAATGAAGATTAGATAAAGCAGGAAAGAAGCGAACATGAATGAGCTTAATTTAATTGAAATTCTGGACAGTAGCTCAGTTTATTTGGAACATCTATCAAAATATTTGCAGCAAACAAAAACAAAATCTATTCAGATGAAGATTTTTTCTCAACCTAATTATTCGTACACATGGTAATGGTATAGAATAAAAGCAACAAACAAACAAACAAAAAAAATTAGATATATTTACAATTAAAAGGACTGTAAACCTGATTCCAAATGACCGTCCCCGCAAAAATTGTAATGTCCGATTCACAACAGTACTATTGAAACCTGTATCCGATCAATAATGTGGAAGATATTGAGGTTTTTCTAGGTTTAATAGTGTTTTTCTGCAATAAAAAGTCTCTTTTTAGAGAAACCACAATTGAAAATAATCAGTTTTCACTATTATAAACATCGATATCTATTTCATTCTTGCCTAGACAAAGCTTTAAAGGGTATCGTTTTCAATCCAAATGTGGTAAACTTGAACTTATGTTAAGAATAGTCAAAAAAAATATCATCCACAATTCCAATTATTTAATTAGTTTGTACTAAAGTTCTGTCTGTGATTTTGTGCAAAATTCTAACACATTGTTTTCCTTTTTCTGTAAACAATTCCTTCTTTAGGACCAGCTTCCCACTGATATTTGGCTTTAAACTGACCTTTGGTTTACAACTAAACTTAAACTTAAAACTCAACTTTAGTTCTCAACTGATATTAAGTTTAAAACTGACCAAAAGCTTGAAACTGATCTTAAGCTTGAAACTGAACTTAAGCTTAAAACTGCCTTAAGCTTAAAACTGACATTGAGCTTGAAATTGAACTGAACCTCATTAAAACTAACCGTAAGCTTGAAACTGATCTTAAGCTTAAAACTGAACTTGAGCTTAAAAGTTACATTATGCTGCTTATAACTGACCTTAAGCTCAAAATTGAGCTTAAGCTTAAAACTGGCCTTGAAATGATCATAACCTTGAAACTGAACTTAAGCTAAAACTGACATTAAGCTTGAAACTTTCCTTAATCTTCCAAAAGACATATAGCTTTCAACTGAACTTACGCTTAAAGATGACATAAAGCTTGAAATTGATCTTAAGTTTGAAACTGACCTTAAGTTTTAAAATTGACATTAAGCATGAAACTGGTCCCAAGCTTGAAAATGTTCTTTAGTTTAAAAACTGGCATTAACCTTGAAACTGACATTAAGCATGAAACTGCAGACCCAAGCTTGAAACTGATCTATTAGTTTAAAAACTGACTCAGAGCATGAAACTGTCCTAAAGATTGAAACTTACTTTTTTTGAAATTGACATCGCGATGGAAAATCACTGTTAATTGAAACCTTTACATCAATTGATTGAAACTGACCTTAAGCTTGAAATTAATCATATATATTTTCTAGATACTGAAGTTTGAGGGAGGAGAGGGAATGGTTGAACCCTATCTAGAGCAAGATCAACAGGGACGTCATCTCTCACATCTTCACGTCAAGGAATAATATTCTCTCAATTATTTTTTACTTAAAATAAGAAGCCGGGTTAAAAAGGGGCTTAGAAATAAAAAAATATGAATTTTTCAAGGTAAAGAAAAAAATCTTATTCAAAATTGGTTTCCTCTGGACCAAATGTTTTTATAAAGATACCCCAGAAGCAAACAATATTTAAGTCTAACTATTTGAGACCTTAAAAAAGTTTCAAGTTTAAAAAGTGCTAAATTAGCGTATGCTGGTGTCGTAGCGTAGCACTTAAAATGGTTTACGGGCTCAAACAAAATAGCAGTAACATTCCCCTTGATAAAAGATTGTTAACACGAAGTCTAGAGGTTAATGCTAGTATTTAAATACTAATAGCTCCATCTTGTGTATAAAAGCGTAGAAGGGGAAACTATTCTATATTTACTTGTTTAGTTAATTGACAGGAAATACAGGAAATACATGAAATACAGGGTACATTAGATAGATTATAGCTGAGGTAAAATAGATTCAAGTTTATATTTCTTTATGTTCTCTACAAAATATCTAATATTTTGTTTTATTATAACATAAATATTGATATATCTTCAATGTAAACTTGAACATATTGAGTACATGATAAATACAGAGAAGATAATGTTCACTGTAAGTAATAAACGAAGAGAAGAATATGTACACTATAAATGATGATTATAGAGAAGAATATGTACACTGTACATAATAAATATAGAGAAGAATATGTTCACTGTACATGATAGTTATAGAGAAAAATATTTAAACTGTACATTTTGAATATAGAGAAGGATATGTAAACTGTACATGTTGAATATAGAGAAGGATATGTAAACTGTACATGTTGAATATAGAGAAGGATATGTAAACTGTATATAATAAATATAGAGAAGGANTACTCCCTGTACTCGGAGAAGGTATAGTACATGTACTGGACAGATATACAGATGTACTCCCTGTACTCGGAGAAGGTAAAGTACATGATCTGGATATACAAATGTACTCGCTGTATTTGGAGAAGGTATAGTACATGTACTGGACATATCCACAAATGTACTCCCTGTACTGGGAGAAGGTAAAATACATGATCTGGATATACATATGTCCTCCCTGTACCTGAAGAAGGTAAAGTACATGATCTTGATAAACAGATGTACTCCCTGTACTTGGAGAAGGTATAGTACATGATCTGGATATACAGATGTACTCCCTGTACTTGGAGAAGGTATAGTACATGTACTGGACATATATACAAATGTACTCCCTGTTCTTGGAGAAGGTAAAGTACATGATCTGGATATACAGATGTACTCCCTGTACTTGAAGAAGGTAAAGTACATGATCTGGATATACAAATCGTACTCCCTGTACTTGAAGAAGGTAAAGTAAATGATCTGGATATACAGATGTACTCCCTGTACTTGGAGAAGGTATAGTACATATACTGGATTTACATATGTACTCCCTGTACTTGAAGAAGGTGAAGTACACTATGGTGATTACATTTGTATGTCCAGAACATTTATTTTCTGTTCATTAATTTGTATTGTTTTGTTTCATCTCATCTAATCTAAGATGAACTAAGAATAAGAATCTAAGATGAACTAAAAATAAGAATCTAAGATAAACTAAGAATATGAATCTAAGATGAACTAAGAATATGAATCTAAGATGAACTAAGAATAAGAATCTAAGATGAAGGGACGAGAATAAAATGGTGCCTCTGTTGTATTTAAGCCCTGACTGCCATTAAACCAAACAACAATGAAAGCTTGGTTTTTCTTGAAAATGTATTCAAGTTTATGAACCATTTAAACCATTTAGAGTCTACCACAATTCATAAGAAACATTCCAGCTCCTTTGATTATTAACTTTAACAGTTTAAAATTATGAAACCTATTATTTTTTTGATTTGCACAATATCCTTTATACTATTTTTTCGCAGAATTCCTATATTGTCTGAAAAGAATAACCGTTTAATCAAAATTAATTATTTTTAGCCAGGTTTTTTAATCAAAATTTACAGTGAAAAACAATGGCGAAGTATAAAACACAAGATCTTACTCTAAAAATATTTTTAATTTTACACCAACAAAAACATAGAGTCTGAAATTCTCAAAAAGTCTGAAATGTTTTACTAACATAATTGTTGATGTTATAAACATGCAAAGATAGCAATGTCCGATTTACAAATGGTATTTTTTTATGAAGTACATATCCATGTGTTTGTTTCTTTACACTATTTATTTTTTTATTTGCGGTTTCTCTGTAAAACAGACGTGAGCATTTCTTGCTTATAAGAAGCAATTTAAAGAAATGATCATAGTTAAACACGACATGAGTCTGAAAAAAACGACGGTATCTTCCACATTTTTGACGAAATCAAGGTTTCAAGGTTTTAAGGTTTCAAGGTGTCAGGGTTTCAAGGTTTCAAGGTTTCAAGGTTTCAAGGTTTCAAGGTTTCAAGGTTTCAAGGTTTCAAGGTTTCAAGGTTTCAAGGTTTCAAGGTTTCAAGGTTTCAAGGTTTCAAGGTTTCAAGGTTTCAAGGTTTCAAGGTTTCAAGGTTTCAAGGTTTCAAGGTTTCAAGGTTTCAAGGTTTCAAGGTTTCAAGGTTTCAAGGTTTCAAGGTTTCAAGGTTTCAAGGTTTCAAGGTTTCAAGGTTTCAAGGTTTCAAGGTTTCAAGGTTTCAAGGTTTCAAGGTTTCAAAGTTTCAAGGTTTCAAGGTTCCAAAGGTTCAAGATTTCAAGGTTCCAAGGTTCCAAGGTTCCAAGGTTTCAAGGTTTCAAGGTTCCAAGGTTCCAAGGTTTCAAGGTTTTAGGGTTTCAAGGTTCCAAGGGTTCAAGGTTTCAATGTTACCGAATTGTAAATCTGTTATTGCCATCTTTGCATGTAGGACTTGAAATTACACTTACAGTTACTATGCCATTAAAAGACAAAAAACAGTTTACGGAGGGTTAAAAGGTACCGTTGTGAATTGAACATGTAACTCTAAACGGATGGTCACTCTAAATTTATCTTCTTTCCCTTTAAATGTCAAGTACAGTGCTTAAGTATTCTTAACTTAAACCTTTCTGTTCTAAAGATTTAAGTTTGCATTGAAAGTTTAAACTGCAGAGAGAGAGAGAGATAACTGATGAAATACATGTTTCAATTTACGAACCGAAGGAATATTTAATTTTATAAAGAATTGATAAACGTAGAATTGGTTCAGTTCCTGTTCAACTCCCCCCCCCCCTTCATGGTAGTATGTCTTTAACCTAATGAAACATTTTTAATAAATTTTGTCGAATTTTATTTTTCAAAAAAACTATTTTTTTCAGGTGGAGTTGGGGACGGAGACAAAATCCTAGTTTCTACACTATCAGAGAAATCTACCGGAGCCAGAATATCTTTCTCATTTATCCTCATCCTCATCGTCCAACAGATCTAGATTCATCCTCATCCTCATCCTCATCATTCAACAGTTATAGAATATGTTTCCAATTCTCCTTTACATCATCAGTCTCATCTTCTTCTAACTTTCATTCTTCATCCATCCTTATTCTTTCTTACTTTCATTCTTCTTTAATTCTCATTCCATTCTCATCTTCTCCTTAATTACATTCTTCTTCCATACTCATCCTCATCTTCTTCATAATTTAATTCTTCTTTCAACCTCATCATCTTCTTTTTCATTCTTCTTCCATCCGTATCCTAATCTTTTTTAAATTTCATTCTTCTTTCATCCTCAACCTTATCCTTTTAATCAGTGAATCATCGATGATATCTCATTCCAGTCCTCTCAAACAGATGGCTTTAAGAACTGAAAAATTAACAAAATTATTTTTCACTAAATTAATTATTTTTAACAGATTGCAGTGGTGAAACCATGTAACAAAATTCAACGAGTTTTTGAAAAAAAATTAAAAATAGTTTTACTTATTTTTTTCAATAGTTCAATTAAAAGTTAAACTTGTGCTTCTCTCCTAATGAAATAATTGATAAATTAATATAAAAAAAATAGTTTTAAATGTTGAATTGAATATGATATAAACATTATATACTGTAATTGTTGAAGTGTGATTAATATTTGTTTCCTTTAATGATATGTACTGTATATAACACTGTAATAAATCAGAGATATTACATTATTAATTAGAACTGTATACACAGTTAAACCATTGCGTAATAACACGATAAGAAAGAAGACTTTTATTTTTTAGTAAAATAAGCCTGCATTAATAAATGTAATTATCATAATTTATGTAATTATGTAACATTTTCTAACCAATAAAGGATTTTATGGTAAAACTTTATAAATTTAGGGTGGGTTGGTGGTGATTATTGAGAAGGGGAGGGGGGAATTTTTAATCATTATTTTCTTCGTGTTTCCCTTGTTATAAAGCGATCACACTGACCGCCCCACTGTTCAATGATCTATCTATTTCCCTACACTGTTTGGTTCTAGCTGAGCAGACCGGAACCCGGACTACTTTTTACTCTATCCATTCTCTCCAAGTAAATACAAGTAGTCAGTTTACAAGGCTCAATCTACAAAAGAAAGACCTTCTTTATTTCTCAGAAAAAATACGCTTAAAAATAATTATGTACATGCAAGAGTCTGGTGAGTTGGTATACATCACAATACTTCCGTAATTTATCCACAGCGAAAACAGTATAATGTACTTCCGGATTACTAAGTATAAAAACAAACAAGTAAACAAAGGAAAAGATTTTTTATTTGTGTAGTGTCTGAATGCTTTGTTTTTATCTAGAGCAAGAAAACAAACAGAAAATAATATTTTACCCGGGAATAAATTTTAAAATGTTTTATACAAAATATTGATACAGCAAACAGGAATGCCTTGTGGCAATATATGGTGCAAAGTAAGATCATTTTAATCTCGGGATTAAGTTTTGATCTCCAGTTAATCCAGGATTTTAACAATTTGCAACTTTTGTACGTGAAAATTAAGGCATTCCTTAGGAAACCTTTTCGGTACCAAGGGGTAATTATCAGAACAACTTTTCCATAAAAACATCCACAGTGTGTCGTGGTTAAGTAAATAAAAAAGTGTCTTCTCTAAGTAGATATCTGTTCAGAAAAAAAACGCAAAATTTTTTTCACGAAAACTTCACAAAGCATCATGTTATTTTTTTCATATCCCAAGGGAAAGTTTAGTAACATCCTTCTAATCTAATACGAAAAAGTATTTTTTTTTCTGAACATAATTTGTATGTGGTCGTTAATAGTGACAGTGTAATCAGATAGATTCTAATTAAGCCTGGTTAAATTAGCCCAGGTTTAATTAACCAGGGTTAACCAAGATTCCCTGGTACAGGATTTTTTCTTAGATTTACTTTACCTACCTTTAGGGTCAAAATTAATGATTAGTGATAACTAAATACCAAGAAATAGCTACCAAGAATAGATATTAATATGCACGTTAAACTTAAGTAAATTGCACGTTATTTTGAAATCTTGAATTTTTTCAATCATAAATACAGTTATTGAAAAGCTAATTAGAACGATAAAATTTTTAATTTTTTAAATAAAATCTGATAAAATTGTGCTTATCCTATTTCTGCAAAACTATAGGAGCTACGAGGTCACAAAGTACTTCAAGGAATGTCGCATAGTGACATTGTGTTAAACGACTAAAAATTAATTTGAAAAAGCATAAAAGTAAATATATATTTGAAATATTACAAAGAATGAGACTTTGATCGAATCTCTTGATTATACTAAATAAATAATAACATTAAAATCATGTATTTTCACAGAATTCATACTTTGAAATATCAAAGGTCTACAACGGCATCAAGATTCGGCGATATATTAATACCAAAATCACAGTTTGTGGAAAGAACTCAGTTCCTTTATT